AGAGACAGAGAGAGAGACAGAGAGAGAAAAGTTCTTGCCTCATTAATGAATTGTTTATTTTTTTCAGTATTTAATTGACAAATTATCCTTTCAAATAATTAATTGATGAGTTACATAATTGTCCATTTAGAATTGTTGAATGGACTGAGTCAAGTTTGGTGCACTTTATATATTTCAAAACATGTTTTTTTTTTTATTTTAATGATGCATATAAATAATTTAAATGTTAATTTAATGAAATATTTCTATTTTTTCATTACCTCGCCCTTGTTTTGACAAAAACGGGACCTTGCTGGATATAATATCATGGAGAAACTATTTGTTCACAGTACATGGCTCAGTGAGGATCTGTGTACCGAAGGAGGAGATACTCAGAAATCTGTCTGCAGATTGTTACAACCCAGACTGGAAGTGGTGGGCTGTAATAAGAAAGGAGACCAAACAGAGGAGTGGGGGTTCAACAACTGATTTATTTAACAAAAGTAAGGATTTACTAAAGCAAGTTAGTGAACAGAAAATGGCCATCTCAAGGTTTTACTCGGATGTCCCTCAGCAGGGTGCAGCACTGTTGAAGGTCATCTGAATGAAAGCTTGATATGCAGTTTCTTTATGAAAGTGTGTAAATATACAGTGTGGTTGCCGTACATATGTTGAGGTTCTCAGACATCAGGCTTCTTTGCCCAGGCCTTCACTAGTGGGCTATTTTAAAAGTTGGTAAGGAGAATGCATCATTAAAATAAAAAAAAACATGTTTTGAAATATATAAAGTGCACCAAACTTGACTCAGTCCATTCAACAATTCTAAATGGACAATTATGTAACTCATCAATTAATTATTTGAAAGGATAATTTGTCAATTAAATACTGAAAAAAATAAACAATTCATTAATGAGGCAAGAACTTTTCTCTCTCTGTCTCTCTCTCTCTCTCTCTCTCTCTCTCTCTCTCTCTCTCTCTCTCTCTCTCTCTCTCTCTCTCTCTCTCTCTCTCTCTCTCTCTCTCTCTCTCTCTCTCTCTCTGGAAGCCCCACTCTAAGGGAGTTTGCAGTGTATTAGTGAGTCATATATTGTACAACCACAGTCATAAAGTTTTCAATCAGTAGTTTTATTTCAGTATGTATTTTTCCAGTATCACAAAAAATGTAATTTTATATGGTTAAAACCATCTAGCTTATGTGCACTTTTTAAAACACTGCCCAGCAAACATTCGGACGTTTAATGACAGTTGAACGGTCACGACTGTAAAATACCTGAAATTAAGAAAAATGAGCATGACATCTACTGCATTTTCCTTGCCCGGCTTCGAACCTGGATCCTCCGGGGCGAGAGTCACCCGCTCTTCCAACTGAGCTATGCCAGCAACTACTTGACTAGTAGACTTTTTTATATAGATAGGTAGAGGGTAAAGTGCGGGGTACACTAACCAATCAGAGGACAGAGGAGATCTGCCACAGGCCACGCCTCCAGAGTGCCAAAACCCTTACAGCCGAGCGAGCAGGAGTCAGAAACCGAGCGCGCAGAGAGGCTGCCGAGCGCGCACAGAGGCTGCCGCGCGCGCACGTTTTCCTCTGCCGTGTCCTCGTTGACAACGCGCGCACGCAGGTTTGTCACTTGTGCACATCCTTGTGCGCTCACAGACACAGTTTGCTCCCTCTCAGTGCACAAATGACCTCTCGCCATGTATATTTCCGCTCGCGAGTCCCGTTCACACGCGCGCTGTGGACCCAATGCGCGTGCACGGGTTGTGGCACGCTTTAAACGCCATAGGTATACCCTAGAACGTTAGCTGGTACCATATGATGTCACAGTGTCGTTGTGAGCCTGTGTGTGTGTGTGTGTGTATTTGTTAGCAGCTCCGGCCTCTTGGTCTGCTAGGCAACAGCATTTGTTGCATTTTTCAAACAGGAAGTGGGAGTGGAGTAAGACTCTGGTAGGGGGTGACTTGCTGTTTAATAACACATAAATGGTAATAACATTTCATTTCTGCAGCTACCAATGTCATGGTGGCATGTCTATTATGTACGGGTTGGCAATAATCCAGTTTAAATGATGTTCAAAGATAGAAGCGTTTGTGAATTATATAGTACAATGGCTTGCCTTACTTCCTGCACCTGTGTGTGGAGCAGACTTGTAGTAGTAATGTGATTTGTATCTGCAACGGTTCTGATCCATAGTGCTATAGGATGCAGAATAAACAGGATGATGGGGACTTTTCATGCGCTTGTAGAGTTTAGTCTTTCACAATTTTACGATCATCATATATTTTTCTGTGCGCCACTTGATCGTGAGACTGTTACCCGTTAGCTTTAGCATTAGCCAATCTGCATGTAGCTGCACTTTTGATCCCAAACTTTGGACCGGTTCTGCCTTTGCTGGTTCCTTTATTTTTCTCCACTACATCCAGATTACCACATTGTGCGCCAGTAAAAAGCATTTTTCTTACACGTAATTTACTTTTGTTCAATAAAGTCTGGGGAAAAGGGTAATTCAAAGATGTTGCACCAGTGCTACGTTTAAAAAAAGACAGACACGCACAGACAGTTTTTTTCGTCGTACTGTACAGCTCTGCTCTGATATGGAAGAGCCTGGGGAAAATCAGGACGTCATTTGCACCAACCATAGATATGTACCAACTAGCGAGAAAAGCAATTATTGATCTTCTTTTTCTGCAGCGGTTTTTGTGCTTTTCGGTGCACCGCTACTGATACAGCACCCCTGTAGTGGCGCAACGCTGCAACTGCAGTAAAAATAACATCCATATAGCTGGAGGCAGAGTGAAATCAGGCTGGCACAAAATCAGCTGGAGGCGGCCGCGACGCAAATTTGAACGCAGGACAAACCCTGGCAACTACAAGAGAAATTACTGTGTCCTCATTCGAGAGTGCCTTTCAAAATAAAAGTGCACTTCTAGGATGTGTTTCTGAACGTGCTGATGAACACTTTTTCTAAGTTTGTGTTAATTTTTGTCCAAGATAAAACTGCGATTTTAATGATTTTATCTATTTAAAAGCATACTTTTAATAAAAAGAATGAAAACGATTTAAACAATTTTCTTTATTTATTTTTTCGTGTCCTGTCCGGCTGTGAAGCAAACAGAATTGATGTCTGAATGCTGGTGACAAGCCTTACAGATTTACTCTCAGGTGGAGCATCAAAGCTTCTGCTTTTAATGTCACGCCTGATACTTAAAACTTTATTGTTATTGGTTTTTGAATGCTTTGTAATTACGACCAGACACGGAGACAGAGGTGAAAGAGAAAGAAAGAGAAGGGGGGGGGGGGGGGGGGGGGGGTCTGCTTCTAGACCTGCAGAAAAGGGACACACAACAATACAACAGAAGCAAGCTATCACTGCGTCAGCTTGATGAATAAATACAAAATCAACATTGTTTAACTGAACAATCACACGATAATAAACCACAGTGCATTTAGTGCCAACCACAGCCTTAAAACATGTGTTGAACGTGCCCAAGTCCATACTTATGAGAGCACCATGTCAGCACCTGTGTGATTACACTCGCTTGTATATGTAAGGTTTTTCTATAGGAGCGTCCAATAGAGAGTGTGAGGGACCACAGATTTGCCCCCCAAAGATGTGTAGGAGATGGAGGGAGCTCCAAGTCCCAGAAATCAAGGAGCTGCCCCAGAGCACAGGGACCCCAAGGAGACTGCAAACAGAAAAGTCCCTGCCCCCTCGAGAGGCGCAGAGGATCGCCCCGGGGGGGCCACAACCAGCAGACAGCAGAGTCCCGGGAGATATCAGTGGCAAGCCCACAGGCCCGCCCGCAGCCTCCCACCCCCTAGCCGGCCGAGCCAGGGACCCAGCAACCCGGGACCCAGGGGCGACCACCCCCGCCGGGGACCCAGCAGAGCCCAGGGACCCAGGTCCCACCAGGCAGCCACCGGGATTGATCAGGCAGACGCCAAAAATCTTAAACCCCCTGACCCGGGAGCCACGAACACTCAGGCAGACCAAGGCACCGCAGTCCACACCAGGTGTGGCAGAGGGAGGGGAGACGAAGATGTAATACATTTTATTTCAAGCGCCTTTCAAAGCTCTCAAGGTCACTGTACAAGACAAAATATAAGGAACAGCAAGCAATACAAACAACAAGAAATAAGCGCTAAGAGTAATTCCCAAGGGTAGAGTCAGAGCAGTACAATGGATAATAGACTACAAAGAGTAGATGGCAGGAGGACAGTTACAGTGAGTAAGCCAGGCGGAACATGTGAGTATTGAGTTGAGACTTGAAGGTGGAGAAAGAGTTTATATTGCGGAGGTCAGGCGGTAGAGTGTTCCAGAGTTTTGGAGCTGAGTGGCTGAAAGCTCTGGCTCCCATAGTTCAGAGACGAGTGCGAGGAACAGACAGGGAAGGTGAAGATGATGATCGGAGAGAGCGAGTGGGAGTGACAATGTGGAGCAGATTAGAAAGATATGGGGGAGCGAGATTATGGATGGCTTTAAAGGCATGAAGAAGTATCTTGTAGTCAATTCTGTATTTGACAGGGAGCCAGTGAAGTTGTTGCTGGACAGGGGTGATGTGATCAAAAGTGGAGGTCTTGGTGATTATCCGGGCAGCTGAATTTTGGACTAACTGTGGCCTGTTGACTGATTTTAGAGGGAGACCGGAGAAGAGGACATTACAGTAATCGATGCGACTGGTGACCAGGGTGTGGACCAAAACAGCAGTGGAGTGCTGACTGAGGGAGGGGTGGAGCCGATTGATATTGCGAAGATGAAAATAAGCAGTTTTTATTGTGTTGTTAATATGAGGAATGAAGGATAAGATGTTGTCTAAGATGACACCCAAGCTCTTAGCTTTGGCGGTGGGGAGAAGTGTGGTGTTGTCAAAGTTGAGTGAGAATCTTTTGTCCATGTTGAGCAGGAGAAAGTTTTCTGCCATCCTGGATTTGATGTCTAAAATACAGTTAAAAAGTGCATCCATTGTCTGTGTGTCATCAGGAGACACGGAGATGTACAACTGTGTATCATCAGCATAACTGTGAAAGGTGACTCCATGCCTCCTGATGACACTGCCAAGAGGGAGCATAGAGGTTAAAAAGCACTGGGCCTAACATAGAACTTCTATGGGGTGCATTCTTCTGCTAGAGCCACATTAACCTATACGGAAAAAGAAGAATAAAAATAAATAGACCATTTCGTCAGGTGAAGTCGAGTGGCAGGCCCCTTAACAACTTGACACAAACTTTTTGTTAGTGATGGTTCTCAGTCATCCAGGTTAGGGTACTTTGACATTTACTTTTGCTGATATAGATTAGTAGAAACACTGTAATTCACACTTCAGTTGTTTATTAACAAGAAAATGTCTGATAAAAACAGGTGTTAATAAACAGAAAGAACAAATGTCAACCCGCAATATTTACACCATTACATCAGGTGTGATCTTTCTGCTGGCTTAAGCTCCGCCTCCACAGCAACAGTCCAATGGCCAATCAAAGAATGTGTTTAATTTAAATAAAACTACTACAAAGACACTTAATGTGAAATTCACCTGCTGAATGGTTCTAGAAAACCCATACACAGACTACATCTGAAGTAATCAGATTACATCAGGTGTTTCTGAGATCCCTCTGAATGTAATCAGATTACATCTGTGAACACTGCTTCAGTAAGTGTCCATGATGAGAATGATTTTATGAACTTGTTTTATGAGTTGAACGCATCATCGCAGTGGGTGAGACTGCAGTCCTCGTCTTCTCAGGCCCTTAGGTGAAGCTGTCTCCATAGCGACGATGTCCATCTCCAATCAGCTGTGTCTTCTCGCTGGCATTGGTTGGTTGGTGGACAACTGGAGTCTCTATGTCTGTAAGCCAACGTGAGACAAAAGCATCATCAAAACCTCTCCAAACTGAAGTCTCCCCAGCCAAATCCACCACACAGCACATTATTTACATCCAGCCATCCATCATCTGTACCCGCTTATCCACGCAGGTTAGCGAGGGGCTGGTGCCTATCTCCAGCAGTCTTCGGGCAAACAGGCGGGGTACACCCTGGACAGGTTGCCAGTCCATCACAGGGCAACAGAGACACACAGGACAAACAACCTTGCACACACACTCACACCTAAGGAAAATTTAGAGGGGCCAGTCAACCTGACAGTCATGACTTTGGACTGTAGGAGGTGGCCCAAGAACCCGGAGAGAACCCACGCATGCACATTACTTACATCCAAACAGAATCCCTGGCTCTTGCTCCATCCATCCTAGCTAGAATCGTGGGTGTTATGATTGAGGACCAGCTGACCTTTAAAGGTTAGGGTTAGGGTTGTGCCGCTTTCCAATGTTTAACAGAAGAAAGATGGCTGATATTCATCTCCTGTCTCGACAACTGTACAGCCCTCCTAACTAATCTTGTAGTGTGAAACCTCTGCAGATTGTCAGGAATGCAGCAGCACATCTGGTCTTCAATCAGCCTTGAAGAGCACGTTACCCTTTAGCCTTACCTACCCTTAGCCACCCACATATATTTTAAGTCATTGATGTTAGCCCACAAAGTCCCGAATGGAAAGACTCACATCTGCTTGAAACCTCTTGCAAAGGCTGACATCATGACTAGATTACTCAGCTTATTTAAGAACGTCTGCACCTGGGGGAAATCCGGCAAACAGAACATGGGAATCTCTGTCTAGCTTCACTAGCCCTTGCACACGACACCACCATGGTGGGACAAATCTCAGAGGAGGACGAGTCAGACTACAGGGATGCAGTCAAAACACTGTCAAAATGGTCTTCAGCCAACAATATTTGATTGAACACCTGAAAAACCAATGAAACCATCTTGGACTTCAGGAAAGACAGAGCAGCCCCTCCTCCTCTTTACATAAACAAGGACTGCATGGAGAGAATTCCCTCTATCTGGTTCCTGGGCGTGGAGATCTCTGTCTCTGAACAGCCAACACCGCCGTGGTTGTGAAGAAAGCCCAACAGTGACTCCACTTCCCGAGGCTTCTCAGGGACACCTGGATAGGAGGTTGCTGGAAACTTTCTACAAAGTAACCGTAGAAAACATCCTGTCATACTGCATTATGGCATGGTACGCAGGGAGGTCAGCAGCAGACAACAAAGTAGGAGTTATCAACATGACCCAGAAGATTGTGGGATGTCCATTGCAGAGATATCGCTGGCTCTCACTACCTCAGCAGAGCCCAATGCATCACAGCGGACTCCTCTCATCCCAGAAACCACCTGTTGGAGCTGATAGCCTCCAGACAGTGCTACAGGTCACGCAGAGCTCGGACAAGTTGACTAAGTGACAGCTTCTTCCCAGTGGCAATAAACACATCAAATAACAGTAAATGGCATGATAAAAAACTACCGTGCAACAAGTCTTCTTCCATTCTCTACTTACATGCTGAACCCCAGAAATAAAGAAACCACTCACATATTGTATTTGTATAGCACCTTCTTAGGGTTCTACAGCCCCCCAAGGCGCTTCACAACACAATCAGTCATTCACGTGCTGGTGGTGATGAGCTACAATGTAGCCGCAGCTGCCTTGGGGAACATTGACAGAGGCTGCTGAACACCGGCTTCACCGGTCCCTCCGACCACCACCAGCAGGCAAGGTGGGTTAAGTGTCTTGCCCAAGGACACAAGGAGCCGGAGTTGAACCTGCAACCTTCTGATTACTGGACAACCTGCTCTACCGCCTATATTTTCATCACTGCTGATTTTGCACTGCCCATTACATTCTGTATGCACTATGGCTGAATATATGTTTATCTATATTGATCATTATTTTACTCATTAGTAAATTGGTAAATGCTTAAATCACCAAATATGGTTTCTACTTTCAGTCACGCTCATTAGGACTAACCCTAACCCCCCTCAGACGATTGTGTTAACTGTTACTACTTTTCTACATAGTGATGCTGTGTGTTCTTTTAAATGGTACATATGTTTTATGTTGTGCATTACAGGGTTTCCCTTCTTATCTAGAGCAAGGAGGAGCCGCTCAAATCTCGTTGAAAAACAATGACAATAAAGGTGATACTGATTCTGAAGACCCAGCTCCTACCATAGCACCTAATAAGTAAGTAAAATGTATTTATACAGCCCTCATCAAAGAAAATGAATCACTAAGTGCTTCACATAGATCAAAATCAAAACAAAACTAATCATAAGGTCATAAAATCCTAATGATCTCAACTGCACAAAAATTAATTAAATCAGAAAAACAAAGATGCAATTATTAAATGATCATAAATATTACTAAACTAATAAAAGATGATTATAAAGTTGAGTTAAAAATAAGAAAATAAAAGATTTAGGTAAAAGCAGTTTTCAATAAAAGGGTCTTTAGCTGTTTTTAAAGGTGTCCAGACCAGGGGCGGATGAAGAACTGAAGAACATCCGGGGCTTAACACACCCACACGCGCGCGCGAACACACACACGCACACACGCACGCACGCACGCGCACACACACGTGACACGCACTAGTCAACATCATATATGTCTTGTACCACATAATTTTTAATCTGAAGCTACATATTAAGCATTTTCAGGGCAGAGTATTGTTCCTGTTAGTGTTTAGTGTGAGATGATAGTAAATATTCCCGTTCTTTCTCCAACAACTTTACCTGATAAGCTAACTTTAGGCAAACCAGCAGCACAACAAATATTTTCAAATAAGACTCACAAACCTGAGTCAGCACCAGTCTCATCAAAGCTGGGGTTCTGTCGTGGTACTTTTTGTCTAAAAAATGTCCTCATGTCCATCTTCACTCATGCGTTTCAGGCAGAGACTGTAGAAGAAGCTGGCTGCTGAAGGGCTTCTTCTTCAGTGGTGGAGGCTCAGGCAAGCTGTATACAACTACTGCAAGCTGCGCCCTCTCTGTTGGACTTTGGTACAGCATGTTACTTCTGCGATTTAGATCCGGGGCTTATCATGAAAGATCCGGGGCTTCAGCCCAAGTAGCCGGGCCTAACGCCGCCCCTGGTCCAGAGTGTCAATTAAGGAAGAATTAAGGAAGATCATTCCAAAGTCGGGGTGCAACAGTCTGGAAGGAGCGATCACCTCCACTTTTATATCTGGTCTTTGGAAGGTTCTGGTGGGTGGACCTGAGGGCTCAGGTTGGAGCATAAGGCTTTAACAGTTCAGTAATATAGGGAGGAGCTTGACCATGTGGAGCCCTGAAAGTTCTAGTCAGGATTCTAAAATTAACTCTAAAGTTAGGGTAACCAGTGCAGAGACATCAGAATAGGAGTGATGTGTGCTCTTCTGTTTGCTCCAGTTAGGAGCCTCGCTACAGAGCTCTTGACCAACTGACGGTGGTCAAGGGCTTTCTTGTTAAAACATGTGAAGAGTGTGTTACAGTAATCTGGACGGGAGGAGATAAAGGCATGGAGAACCATTTCAGTTCATGTTTTGACTCCAACCTTCGCAGTTTGAAGATATTTCTTAAACAGCAAATTGCAGGTTAATTTTTTTATAATTCATATAAAATGCTGTCCCAGAAATACTATTAGAAAAGCTTATTGTGGATATTTGGTTATAAAACACATAACAGCAGAGTTTTCTCGTAAAAAGTGTCCTTTCGCTTGTTTCTAAAGCTGAACCTCTGACGTAACCAAAGGGAGTTAGAAGCTAGGCGCTGCCTCAGCTCAGTGTGGAGAGTGGCTCGTTTTAGGGTAGAGAGGTCATGTGATCCAGTCAGTGTGTGTGTTTACTAGTGTTGGATTGTGGTCATGCTGATAAACTACAGTTAGTGAAGGCTGTACCAACTCCAGCCTGTCTGGACATCGAGTCCACGGGTTTCCAGATAAGAGAAACAACACCTCTAGCCCCGTGCCTGAGGGCGTTTTTGACTCTGAGCTGATTTTTATCCCACACAAAAAAACATTCCTAAAATAGGTTTTATCATCTAAAGAACATCGCCAAAGTCTGCCCCATCCTCTCTCAGGACAATACAGAGACGCTGATGCTTGCTTTTAGTAGAGTAGACTAATGCCCTGCTTTCTGGTCTTCCCAAAAAAGAACATTTCAGGTTTACAACTTTAACAAAACTCAGCGGCACGTGTCCTGATGAAGACCAGGACGCGTGAGCACGTTACACCAATTTTAGAATCGCTGCATTGGCTCCCTCTATGTTTCAGGATCAATTTTAAGCTTCTTTTATTGGTTTTTATTTGTCGTAATGGTCTTGGGCCTTCTTATCTTTCGGAACTGCTTTGACCTTACAAACCCTCGCGGCCTCTGCACTGCTCTGGCAGCCGTCTCCTTGTGATTCCAAAAGTAGGGACACACACCCATGACGAGGCGTCCTTCCAGTTTTATGGCCCACATCTCTGGAACAGTCTGCCAGAGGACCTCAGGGTCGTACAGGATGTTCATGTTTTTAAGAGCAGGCTCAAGACTCACCTTTGTAGCTTAGCTTTTAACTGATATCTGTTTTTAGCTGCATTTCCTGTTTTATTAATGAACTTATTTATTATTTTCCTTTTAGTGGTATTAGACGTTTATGTTTTAGTGTTTTACTATCTCTTTAATCAGATTTTCTTAGTTATTTTTCTATCTATATTAGCTATAATTATTAATGTTAATATTATTTATGTATTTTCATTCAACTTATTTTAATCATACCAGTGTTTCCTCTGTGGGGCCCTCTGCCTCGAGGGTGGTGGTCGACTGTGGCAGCCTGAGCGCTCCTGGGGTATGCTTAGGCGGTGGTGGGGGTTTCTGCCCTCCCTCCCTTGGTGCCCTGGGTTGGTGCCTTGGCTGCTGCCGTCAATCAACTACTGCCGAGGCAGATGGCTCACCTGATGGTGTTTCACTCATTACCTAACCCATCTGAACTCAGCTTAGTGTTTACTTATGCTGTTTTTTAGGTTTGTGTGTGTGTGTGTGTGTGTGTGTGTGTGTGTGTGTGTGTGTGTGTGTGTGTGTGTGTGTGTGTGTGTGTGTGTGTGTGTGTGTGTGTGTGTGTGTGTGTGTGTGTGTGTGTGTGTGTGTGTAACCGGTTCGCCCTGCTTGTTGGTATCACAAACTGCGCTGATCCTGCTGCTGTTTTGTAGCCCAGTTCCGTTCTAAATGGGTAAGTAGATAACTATTGTTGATGGTAGCTGTTGTATATTAACCTTTGAATGAAACATATGTGTTTGTATTCACCTTTATTAAATCCATCTTTTGCTGCAAACACTGCATTTAAAACGATGGAAACGCTGTGTTTCTCTGCAGGAGTGTGTGTTCATTTTCATCTCTCTAGTCTGTTTAGATACAAAAACATAATCACATTTATCAATTGGGGTGTTTTATCTGGAAATTTTTCTTTGATTTAGTTAAAATCATCGGCCTGCCTCTTCTGCTTTGGTTTGACTTCCTGCCAGAATTGACGCGGCTCACGAAAAAAAAGAGCTCACGCTGAAACGATCGCTGCACGGCGCTAGCCTTCGTGGCGCTTCGCAGCTGATGTGACTGAGAGCATAGGTTAACAAGGGTGCCGATAAGAATCGCTCGTCATTCCACGGCGCTTTGTCTCGCTTCCGCGTCTGGTGTGTTCAGGGCGTAAAGCTGAGTGTCAAGCAGGGAGGCGTTGGGTTCCATTTTTAGTCTTTGGTTTGACCCGACCAGGATTTGAACTCTGATCTCCCAGTCCCAGGGTACCACTAGGCCACTAAGCTGGTATAAGGAACAAGCTCCTCCTCCCATTAAGTCTTTGAAATGGGACTGTACCACAGCAGAGCAGTCCAGAGCTCTGAATCAAACGTGGCCCTAAAGGTAGCAGACAATCACCCCACCCCCACCCCCCATCAGCAGCCCTGTCAGTAGAGACCAGCAGTCAGTCCAACTGCTTTTACTGATTTGTGGCAATTTGTAATCAGATTACAGACAGAAGCAACTTTCTCACCATTGTCGGGGTTGTTGCGTATCTCTTCCTCAAGGTCGTCGGGGGATACATATTCTGGCTCCGCCCCCTCACCTGTGGCAGCTGGTTTGAGTTTCCCGCAGCAGCAGTTACAGCAGCAGCAGAGGCAGCAGCCACAGTAGCATCCAGTCAGAACTCCACAGAGCAGGAACAGACCCTGGAGCATAAACATGATATCACATCACCTCATTCCTGCCTCCACACATGGACTGGTGTAACCTCCAACCCCACCTTGGCCCACCAGGTGGACAGCATGAAGTAGGTGTTGACGTTGTCTTCTCCAAACTGCTGGGCCACATAGAGTCCCAGAGAACCGTATGAGTCATAGATGTTTCTCTTGGTGAGGTCGGACAGGACTGCGTGAGCGCTGTTCAGCTCCTTGAATTTCTCCGCTGCCTCTGGGTTGTCTGGGTTCTTATCTGGGTGGTGCCGCAGCGCCAGCTTCCTGACACCAGAAACAGGTTCACCACAAACGGATGATTTAGATTAAGTAGAATTTGATCTTGTTTGATTGGATTGCCTGATATGTTGTTATAATGATAATGAGCCACACTTGTACTGCACTTTTCTGAGTTAGAGCACTCTGAAGCACTTTACCCTACAGTGAACCAATCATCCATTCACACGCTGGTGGTGATGAACTTTGCTGTAGCCACAGCTGCCCTGGGACACATTGATAGGCATCCCTGGTCTCTCCGACCACCACCAGCAGGTAAGGAGGGTAAAGGTTCTTACCCAACCACACAACAATTGACATGCCTGGGGCAGACTGGGTTCAAACCTGCAACCCACCAATTACAGGGCGAACTCCTAGCCCCTGAGCCACCGAATTTACATTGATGTCACATTAATGGGCTCTAAACAAACAACAGAGGGGTCACTGTGTGTCGCTAACTGTGCCCCTGCTGTAGGTGAGTGGGCGGGGCTGAAGCTCACCTGTAGGACTTTTTGATGTCATCATGGCTGCAGCCTTTCTCCAGGCCAAGTACCTGATACAAAGACTCTCCAGAGGTGGACAGAGTTCGCTGCTTCCCATCAGACATCTTGACACCATCAACTGTCACAGCAGACAAACATGTAGGTAAGTATGATGTCTGTCTGAGTCTCTGAATAGTTTCTTTTATTTCATCTGCACTTCTACTCTAAAGATTTAGGTGAAAAAACATTTCAGATCACACACACACACACAAACACATATATATACATATATATATATATATATATATATATATATATATATATATATATATATCTTCGTCTTCGTCTTCCTCCGCTTATCCGGGTCCGGGTCGCGGTGGCAGCATCCCAATTAGGGAGCTCCAGGCTGTCCTCTCCCCGGCCTTGTCCACCAGCTCCTCCGGCAGGACCCCAAGGCGTTCAAGGACCAGATTGGAGATGTAACCTCTCCAACGTGTCCTGGGTCGACCCGGGGGCCTTCTGCCGGCAGGACATGCCCGAAACACCTCCCCGGGGAGGCGTCCAGGAGGCATCCTGACCAGATGCCCAAACCACCTCAACTGACTCCTTTCGATCCGGAGGAGCAGCGGTTCTACTCCGAGTCCCTCCCGAATGTCCGAGCTCCTCACCCTATCTCTAAGGCTGAGCCCGGCCACCCTACGGAGGAAACTTATTTCGGCCGCTTGTATCCGCGATCTCGTTCTTTCGGTCATTACCTAAAGCTCATGACCATAGGTGAGGATTGGGACGTAGATCGACCGGTAAATCGAGAGCCTGGCTTTCTGGCTCAGCTCCCTCTTCCCCACGACAGATCGGCTCAGCGTCCGCATCACTGCAGACGCCGAACCAATCCGCCTGTCGATCTCCCGATCCCTCCTACCCTCACTCGTGAACAAGACCCCGAGATACTTAAACTCCTCCACTTGAGGTAGGACCTCTCCCCCGACCCGGAGGTGGCAAGCCACCCTTTTCCGGTCGAGAACCATGGTCTCAGATTTGGAGGTGCTGATCCTCATCCCAGCCGCTTCACATTCGGCCGCGAACCTACCCAGCAAGAGCTGAAGGTCAGAGCTGGATGAAGCTAGGAGGACCACATCATCCGCAAAAAGCAGAGACGAGATTCTCCTGCCACCAAACTCGACACACCCCACACCACGGCTGCGTCTAGAAATTCTGTCCATAAAAGTGATGAACAGAACCGGTGACAAAGGGCAGCCCTGGCGGAGTCCAACCCTCACTGGGAACAGGTCCGACTTACTACCGGCTATGCGGACCAAACTCACGCTCCTCTGGTAAAGGGACTGAATGGCCCTTAACAGAAAGCCACCCACCCCATACTCCTGGAGCGTCCCCCACAGGGTGCCCCTGGGGACACGGTCATAAGCCTTCTCCAAATCCACAAAGCACATGTGGATTGGTTGGGCAAACTCCCATGCCCCCTCCATCACCCTTGCAAGGGTATAGAGCTGGTCCACAGTTCCACGGCCAGGACGAAAACCACATTGCTCCTCCTCTATCTGAGATTCAACTATCGATCGGACCCTCCTCTCCAGTACCTTGGCGTAGACCTTTCCAGGGAGGCTGAGGAGTGTGATCCCCCTATAGTTGGAACACACCCTCAGGTCACCCTTCTTAAAGATGGGGACCACCACCCCGGTCTGCCACTCCCTAGGAACTGCCCCCGATGACCACGCAATTTTGTAGAGATGTGTCAACCATGACAGCCCTACAACATCCATAGCCTTGAGATACCCAGGACGAACCTCATCCGCCCCCGGGGCTCCGCCGCTGTGTAGTTGTTTGACTACCTCAGCAACTTCTGCCCCCGAGATCGGACAGTCCATCCCCAGGCCTCCCAGCTCTGGTTCCTCCTCGGAATGCGCATTGGTGGGATTGAGGAGCTCCTCAAAGTATTCCTTCCACCATCCGACTATAGCCTCAGTTGACGTCAGCAGCTCCCCATCCCCACTGTAAACAGTGTGAGCGAGTTGCTGCCTTCCTCTCCTGAGGCGCCGGACAGTTTGCCAGAACCTCTTTGGAGCTGATCGATAGTCTTTCTCCATGGCCTCACCAAACTCCTCCCACGCCCGAGATTTTGCCTCGGCAACTGCCACTGCTGCACCCCGCTTGGCTATCCGGTACCTGTCTGCTGCCTCCGGAGACCCACAGACCAGCCACGCCCTGTAGGCCTCCTTCTTCAGCCTGATGGCTCCCCGAACCTCTGGTGTCCACCAGCGGGTACGGGGGTTGCCACCACGACTGGCACCGGCCACCTTACGACCACAGCTAGCAACAGCCGCCTCGACAATCGCAGAGTGGAACAAGGCCCACTCGGACTCAATGTCCCCCACTGCTCTCGGGACGTGGTCAAAGCTCTGCCGGAGGTGGGAGTTGAAGACCGTCTTGACAGGTTCTTCTGCCAGGCGTTCCCAGCAGACCCTCACTATGCGTTTGGGTCTGCCAGGTCTACGCGGCATGTTCCCTTGCCATCTGATCCAACTCACCACCAGGTGGTGATCAGTTGACAGCTCCGCCCCTCTCTTCACTCGGGTGTCCAAAACATACGGCCGCAGGTCAGATGATACGACTACAAAATCTATCATCGACCTGTGACCTAGGCTGCCCTGGTACCAAGTGTACCGGTGGGCATCCTTATGTTCGAACATGGTGTTCGTTATGGCCAAACTGCGGCTTGCACAGAAGTCCAATAACAAAACACCGCTCGAGTTCAGATTAGGTGCGCCGTTCCTCCCAATCACACCCCTCCAGGTCAAGCTGTCATTGCCCACGTGAGCATTGAAGTCCCCCAGCAGGACAATGGAGTCCCCTGATGGAGCACTATCTAGCACTCGTCCCAGGGACTCCCAAAAGGGTGGGTACTCTGAACTGATATTTGGCCCATAAGCACAAACAACAGTCAGGACCCATTCCCCGACCCGAAGGCGCAAGGAAGCTACCCTCTTGTCCCCCGGGGTAAACCCCAACACACAGGCAGAGAGTCTCGGGGCTAACAAAAAGCCAACCCCAGCCCTCCGCCTCTCACCCGGAGCAACTCCAGCAAAGTAGAGTGTCCAACCCCTCTCCAGGTCTCGGGTTCCAGAGCCAATGCAATGTGTCGAGGTGAGTCCGACTATATCTAGCCGGTACCGCTCAACCTCTGCCACAAGCTCCGGCTCCTTCCCCGCCAGCGAGGTGACGTTCCATGTCCCAAAAACTAGTTTTCTTGTCCGGGGATTGGACCGCCAAGGCTCCCGCCTTGGTCTGCCACCCGATTCGCATTGCACCGGACCCTTCATGTTCCTCCTGCGGGTGGTGGGTCCACAGTTGGACGAGCCCATGTATCCGGTTCGGGCTGGGCCCGGCCGGGCCCCATGGGCGAAAGCCCGGCCACCAGGCGCTCGCTCACGGGCCCCAACCCCAGGCCTGGCTCCAGGGTGGGACCCCGGTAACCCTCCGGGCCGGGTACTCCGACTCTTCGTTTTAACCGCCATGAAAGATCCTTCGAACCGTTCTTTGTCTCACCCTTCACCTAAGACCAATTTGTCATGGGAGACCCTACCAGGGGCACTAAGTGCCCCAGACAACATAGCTCCTAGGATCATTAGGGCACTCAAACTCCTCCACCACGATAAGGTGACGGTTCAAGGTTGATATATATATACATATATATATATATATATATATATATATATATATATGTATGTATAGATGTACTTTTCCAAATTTGAGATTTTTAAAACTATTTTGGTGCCTTATTATTGAGATACACCACCTAGTGGTGGGGCAGGCTATTTCACTGCTTTTGACAGAATAATGTGGGGAAAAAGAGAGAATCATTGTCCTTATTTTGTTTCTGATATGAAGCTTGATTCATTTATTCACCACAGCCATGTTACAGAATGATGCTGTTGAGCAGGGGTGGGCGGTATAAACAGTATACGGTAGAAATGATATTAATTTGGCCAACGATAGAGATTTTGACTATATCGGCCTATCGCTCTAGCACATGTTGATGACGTCATCAAGCTGCGTCTGTTGAGGCTGAAAGCATGGAGCCTGTGGTGGAGGAGGAGGAGGTTCTCGTAAAGACCGGTGCAACATCGGTCATTTGGACTTGGTTTGGCTTTAAGGAGTCGGATGTGGAGCAGAACTATATAATCTGCAAAGTATGCTGGAAGAAAGTATTAGCGAATAGAGGGAATACGTCTCATTTGTTTTACCACCTCAAAACGAAGCATGTTGTGGAATACGAACAAAGCCAAAAACTGCGTCCTCAACAAATGCCCAGTCAGTCGAGCGGTAAGAAAAAAGGTGGTCTTACACACCAGCAGACGGATATTTTACAAGCATTTGCTAAAGGCACTCAGTATGAGAGAAATAATCAACGGTGGATTGATATTACAAATGCCATTACCACGTACCTGTGTAAGGACACGGTGTCGTTTCTTACAGTGGAGAAAAGCGGCTTTCGGGACATGATTAAGACACTCGATCCACGTTACGAGGTACCGCGCCGCAAACACTTCAGCCAAACAGAGATGCCAAAACTGTACGAGAAAGTCTGCGAGCAAGTAAAGCAAGAAAATTAATAAATTTTCTTAAAATGGCATTTTATACTGTTTGAAGTGTGTTTATTCTGCTGCTGCATCTGGTATGTGAGTATGTTTAGAAACATTCGTTTTTGACATACATACAAAAGAAAGTCATATATCGCAATATATACCGTTACCGCACATTTTTCTAATTATATTGCAATATAGATTTTAGGCTATATCGCCCACCCCTACTGTTGAGCATGCTCAGTGAGGCCTCTGACCATCAGGAGTCATTGCAGTGTGCAGGACACTCAAACAGTAAATGAGTCGATAGAAATCTAGTCACCTTCAAAGAGCAGATGTTACTTCATCATTTATTTCAAGACATAATTTACTGTTGAATTTTATAAAATTTGTATTGATTTGATAAACAAGAAGATACGGCCCCTCTTTACCTGCTGGTGGTTCCTGGTGTTCTCAGGTGTTTTGTTCTTGGAACAAATCACTAAGGGGACATTTGACTGCAGAAACAAAAAAATAAAACGACCAACCAACACCTAAAGATCTGATCCAGGTGTGCCTCATAAAACCCAACAACAAAAGCTTCACAGGAACTAAAACAGACCTTCTGCAAAACCAGAACCACTCAGCAGTGATGTTCTGCCCCACAAAAGAAAATACAAACACCTGAGTAGGTGTGTGACATTCAACAAAAATGATGGTTCTTGGACTCCTGGGTCACAGGTGACAGGTGGATAAGTACCTGCACTCCTGGAAAAAGAAGAGAAGTTTGAAGAGCAGTTACCTGCCAGCTGAAGCTCTGCAGCGCCTCGGACAGTCTACCTGTTCAGGTGTTTGTCCTGCAGGAGGATCTCTGACAGACTTCATCAAACATTCATCAGCAGCTCAGGTAACTGCGATCCACCACACCTGCTCAGGTATCATTGGGAGAGAGAGGTTGCCCTAGCAACCAGGTGAGTCAGGAGAGACTTTTGTTCTTTTTTATTCATTCAAATTGAGGATGAATCTAAAACCTGAGTTCCGATCTGGGCTGTCCCCATCAGGTCCTCCAACCCTAACCCTGATCCGTCATTCCAGCAGAACAGCACAGACTTGCTGCATCATTCCAGGAAAGCAACACAGTTGATTGGTGGAGTCTACAGCTGACTGACTGTGAGACAGTTCTGAGATCAGCCTAAAACACTCACCGGTGTTCCACATGTTCTAGGAGTTAGAACCCACCTGCCTGTGGGACAAACTACATCCTGGTCTGTGGTTATGGGGCAAAAGTGGCTCAGGGGTTTGCCCTGTAATCAGTGGGTTGCAGGTTCCATACCAGCCCAGTTAGTCATTTTGCCCTTCGGCAAGACACTTCACACTACTTTCCTGCTGGAGGTGGTCGGAGCGAACAGCCTCGCCTCCATCCGTGTTCCCCAGGGCAGTTGTGGCTACATCGTGTGTGAACGGATGAATGATTCACTGCAGTGAGATAAGCTTCTGATCCTAAATCAGCCAGTCTGATGATCATCCCCAAACCTGTTGGTCGTCATGGCTACACTGTGATCCTAGGATTCTAACTCTCTACTGGCCTAAATTAGACAAACACAAAGAAGTAAACAAATTTGAGTTGAACTTTGGTTTTACTGAACCAGAGACACACAGCAGAGTTTCATCTACAAATAAATGTTTCAGTGTTCAGAGATGTTCCGTCCCAGAGGGGTGAGTAGGGGTGAGGTGAGGTCACACAGGCATCTGGAGCTGAGAGTACTCATCCTGACCCTCCTTCTCCTCTAGGTGAGCGTCCACATCATCTGAATCCAGCTGCAGGATCAGAGGTCAGAGGTCAGAGGTCCGCGCTGCTCGCGGTCTTTGAGTTAAAATTAAAGTCCAGAAGAATTCTACTTTTACAGACTGAAATTTTAAATTTCATCACACTCTGGGATCATTTGTAAACAGTAATTGGATGTATGTAATGACATCATGATGATGTCACGACTCACGCTCTGCAGCTCTGAGGTGTTGAAGAAGCGGGGCAGTAGCAGCATCCTCATTGGGATGGTCAGCAGCAACATGAAAGGAAAGGCCAAAGCTGCTGCCGTCGCCATGACAACCCACAGCAGGGACAGGCATGTTAGCTGGACCAGGGTGAACAGGTGCATCCTCATGGTCCTCACCTGTAGACACATACAAGTAAAACATGTACATGAAGGCCTGAGACAGTCGGGTAAAGCCTTTGAGATAGTGACTCTACAAGAATCACCTCTCCTGTCCTTCTGCAGGTGCAGGACTGAATTACTAAACACACCTTATGGACATAGCTGTGCTCTGGGTGGTACTTTGGAGGCATCAGCAGCAGAATGAGTCTCTCTGTGAGCTGGATCCCATTTAGGGACATCACACCCATGTAGAGGAAGATGCCAAACAGAACCGCCAGAGGGATCATACGTAAAACCTCTCCAATTACAATAGACAGACCTGGAAGAGCAGAGACCGGGTCAGAACGGAGCAGTACACCAACAGAGGCAGTGATGTTGCTGGCAGCGTAGTCATACCCACTAAAACTGCTACCACGAAGCCTGTCACCCTCTGCTCCTTGACCTCCTGAATGTGAGGTGTTTCTCCAGGAACAACAGCTTTACTCATAACAGTCAGAGCATTTGTGTGGGTGACTGACCGGACCGTGGCAGCTGATAACCAGGGCAGACCAAACAGAGCTGAGACTCCGCCCACCACCACGATGATTAAAAGGTCCAGGTGAAAACCAGTCCCCTTCACCAGCATCCGCTCCTTCTTACTAACAATGAGCCTGAAGAACGAAGAGTAAAAAGATCAGCAAAACAAAACCTTCAGTCTGGCATCACCAGGACCCAGTTCAATTCAATTCAATTCAATTCAAGTTTATTTATGTAGCGTACCCAAAGGTTGAGTATTTACATAAAAAATGACCAGAAATGTGCTTTTCATTAGCAGACACAAACATCCTATCTGCCATTTCTCCAAACAAGAAAGCACTGGACAAGGCCTTGTCACCGGATAAAGGAGGTATAATCGTTTCTAGCTACCTTATCTTGACTGGAACAAAAGCCATGCACAAGACTGACTTTTGCACTCACTCTGAATAAAGTTAATCTTCACTGAATCATAAATGACTTTTTAAAATGTGATAATTGCATAAGTGTCACATAATCATCTCTTGTTTAATCCCAAAGTGTATGAATAATCAATGATGTGTTAAAAATAATACTTCCTGCAGTGATTCATGTCAGATCTTAAACTACACCAGATCAGTATTTGTTGAGTTAACAAGTTCATCTATCAGTGCAGTCATACATGCTAAGATTAATATTAAGGTTTTGACATTCACTTCACACTAAGAGTTAACATCTCTGGGTGAAGGCGTGATTCTCTGAGGTCTTTGTTAATGCCCTCTTAAAGTGTAAAATTAGGATTTGTCTACATTTCTAAACAATAAAGTTATAAAAGCTACAACACCTCCTGATTCCTAAGTCTTCACCCTTCACTCGATAAGGCCAGTTGGGTGAACAAGCATTTCGAGACCATCCATTCATTTCACCCCAAGGTCAAAGCCTCTCTGCAACACTTGCGGGTGATATCAGACACAGCAGCTCTTTTAAGAGCCGCTGAACAGCCTTATACGCAAAATAGAAACGCCAGCATCCTGCCGTCACCTGGAAGGTATCTCAGACTGGACGCGTCGTGCTCAAAGCTGAACTGCAAGTTCTGTTGAACTACGACCTCTTGACCCCCTGGTTTGCATGGGGACCTTCCACACAAAAGGTTCGTAGACTTGGCACAAATGGCATCGGATGGTTTTATGAATAATCTCTAGCTTATCAAACCATAGAGCCAAATTGATTTTACAACACAGACACCACAATCTCTCTCAGGTGCTTAAGAAAGGTTCTGCTAAAATATCTAGCGTCCATTTCATCATTCCATCCATCATCTCTTATCTGCATAACCTTAATTTCATTCATGCTTTGTTATGTTCAGTCATTTGGTTTAGAAAAGAGAATCAAAGTCATTTTTATAAACTACAGGGTGGGATATTAACGTCCTGTTTGTAGCTCATTAGTAAATGTGAGGAGGCAAACTTTTCAAGATGGGTGGTGACTATGGTGGACATTTTGAAGTCAGCCATCTTGGATCCAACTTTTGTTGTTTCAATAGGATGAGGGTCATGTGACACATCAAACTTATTGTGAATTTTTCAAGAAACACAATGGTGTGCTTGGTTTGACCTATCCCTAACCCCAACCCTAACCCTACTCAACAGACTCTACTCTGTCTCTCCCAAATGTCTGAGCTCTTCATCCTATCCCTAAGGCTGAGCCCAGCCACCCTGCGGAGAAAACTCAATTTGGCCGCTTGTATCTGTTCTTTCGGTCACTACTCACTACCCAAAGCTCACTACTATAGTCAGGTCCATAAATATTGGGACATTGACACAATGCTAACATTTTTGGCTCTATACACCACAATAGATATCAAATGAAATGAACAAGATGTGACTGTCAGCTTTTATTTGAGGGTATTTACATCCAAATCAGGTGAACGGTGTAGGAATTACAACAGTTTGCATGTGTGCCTCCCACTTGTTAAGGGACCAAAAGTAATGTGACTATTGACTTCTCAGCTGTTCCATAGCCAGGCGTGTGTTATTCCCTCATTATCCCAATTACAATGAGCAGATAAAAGGTCCAGAGTTTATATCAAGTGTGCTATTTGCATTTGGAATCTGTTGCTGTCAACTGTCAAGATGAGATCTCAAGAGCTGTCACCATCAGCGAAGCAAGCCATCATGAGGCTGAAAAAAACAAAAGAAACCTATCAGAGAGATAGCAGAAACATTAGGCGTGGCCAAAACAAGTTTGGAACATTCTCAAAAAGAAGGAACGCACCGGTGAGCTCAGCAACACCAAAAGACCAGGAAGACCACGGAAAACAACTGTGGTGAATGACCGAAGAATCCTTTCCCTGGTGAAGGAAACACCCTTCACAACAGTTAGCCAGATCAAGAACACTCTCCAGGAGGCAGGTGTATCTGTGTCAAAGTCAACAATCAAGAGAACACTCCACCAGTGTGTGAGGGTTCACCACAAGTTGTAAACCATTGGTGAGCCCCAAAAACAGGAAGGCCAGGTTAGAGTTTGCCAAACAACATCTAAAAAAGCCTTCACAGTTCTGGAACAACATCCTATGGACAGATGAGACCAAGATCAACTTGTACCAGAGTGATGGGAAGAGAAGAGCATGGAGACGGAAAGGAACTGCTCATGATCCTAAGCATACTACCTCATCAGTGAAGCATGGTGCTGGAAGTGTCATGGTGTGGGCATGTATGGCTGCCAGTGGAACTGGTTCTCTTGTATTTATTGATGATGTCACTGCTGACAAAAGCAGCACGATGAATTCTGAAGTGTTTCGGGCAATATCTGCTCATATTCAGCCAAATGCCTCAGAACTCATTGGACGGCTCTTCACAGTGCAGATGGACAATGACCCAAAGCTTACTGCAATAGCAACCAAAGAGTTTTTGAAGGGAAAGAAGTGGACTGTTTTGCAATGGCCAAGTCAGTCACCTGACCTGAATCTGATTGAGCATGTATTTCACTTGCTGAAGACAAAACTGAAGGGAAAATGCCCCAGGAACAAGCAGGAACTGAAGACTGTTGCAGTAGAGGCCTGGCAGAGTATCACCAGGGATGAAACCCAACATCTGGTGATGTCTATGTGTTCCAGACTTCAGGCTGTAATTGACTGCAAAGAATTTGCAACCAAGTATTGAAATGTATAAGTTTGATTTATGGTTTTTATTCTGTCCCGTTACTTTTGGTCCCTTAACAAGTGGGAGGCACATATACAAACTGTTGTAATTCCTACACCGTTCACCTGATTTGGATGTAAATACCCTCAAATAAAAGCTGACAGTCTGCAGTTAAAGCACATCTTGTTCATTTCATTTGATATTCATTGTGGTGTATAGAGCCAAAAATGTTAGCATTGTGTCGATGTCCCAATATTTATGGACCTGACTGTAAGTGAGGGCTGGGCGGTAGATCGACTGGTAAATCAAGAGCCTCTAAAGACTAAAGTCTTCTGATTAAACATTCAAAGACCAATCAGATTGATATTTTATATTTATATGGAACGTCACATCTTATTGATTATTTAATATATATGTAGTCAATCCTTAACGCTACATTTCTACAGCACCAAATCAGGACCAGAGCTGTCTCAAAGACCTTCACACAGTAAACATTACAATACAGGTCAGGTCATTAAGCCAATCAGTAAAAAGTTTCGTATATAAGGAACCCAGCAGGTTGCATCGAGTCACTGACTAGTGTCGGGGTCTTTACAGCAATCCTCATACTAAGCAAGCATGCAGTGACAGTGGAGAGGAAAACTCCCTTTTAACAGGAAGAAACCTCCAGACGACCAAGCAGCCATCCACCATGACTCACTAGGGATGGAGAAGACAGAGCAGAAACACACAAACACACAAACACACACACACACACACACACACACACACACACTACCAATTAAATGTTTTAGAACGCCCCAATTTTTCCAGTTTTTTAATTCGCATCAGAACTCTGGCTGCAGCATTTTGGACAAGCTGAAGACTTTTAACTACATTCTGTGGACTTCCTGAGAGTAATGAATTACAGTAATCCAGTCTTGATGTAATAAATGCATGAACTAGTTTTTCAGCATCACTCCTGGAAAGGATGCTTCTAATCTTAGCAATATTCCGAAGGTGGAAAAAGGAAATCCTACAAACCTGTTTAACCTGGGATTTGAATGACATGTCCTGGTCAAAGATAACACCAAGGTTCCTTACTTTGTTTTCAGAGATTAATTTAATGCCGTTCAAGTCTGGTGATTGACTAAGCAATTTCCTTTTCTGGATTTCAGGTCCAAAGATGAGAACTTCAGTCTTGTCTGGATTTAAAAGCAGAAAGTTTAGAGTCATCCAATTTTTTATGTCTTCAAGACAAGCCTGTAATCTACCCAGCCTATTAGGTTCATCAGGGTTAATGGATAGATATAACTGAGTATCGTCAGCATAACAGTGGAAGTTTATCCCATGCTGTCTAATGATTTTACCAATCAAATGACTTCAGTGCTGTGATACTCTCTAAAACCAGACTGAAATTCCTCAAACAGATCATTAGTGTTTAGATGCTCACATACTTGGATGGCCACTATTTTCTCCAGGACTTTGGATAAAAATGGAATGTTAGATATTGGTCTATAATTCATTGGGTCATCTGGATCCAGAGAAGGCTTCTTAAGTAAAGGTTTGATTACAGCAACCTTAAAATCCTGTGGTACATATCCATTTACAAAGGAAAGATTGATTATATCTAGAATGGGGGCAGTAACCAAAGGAAATGCTTCTTTAAATAATTTGGTTGGGATTGGATCTAAAATTCAAGTTGAAGGTTTAGATGAAGCTAATATTTTTGATAATTTTGAAAGCTCAACTGGATCAAAACGGTTCAAACACAGATGAGGTTCTACAGTTACCTCTGATGCTGCCTCACTTACTGAGGAAGAAGTAATCATATTAGGGAGGATGCTAAAGAGTTTGTTTTTAATAGAATTAATTTTACTCGTGAAAACTCCCATAAAGTTGTTGCTGCAGAAGACTAAGGGAATTGATGGTTCAGAGCAATGATTCTGTGTAAGTTTAGCAACTGTACTGAAAAGACATTTTGGGTTATTCTTATTCTCCTCAATTAGCGATGAAAAATAAGCAGTTCTAGCTTGTCG